TCCGGGCAAAATTTGGCCAAATCGAGCTGGGGGGGTGGGGTCTGGGGAATCCCCCCCATTTGGAAATAAATGAATTGATTTGAATTAATTGATTTAATTTAATTCAATTAATTAAATTAATTAAATTAATTCCACCCCCCCTTTGGAAATAAATGAATTAATTGAATTAATTGAATTAATTGAATTAATTCAATTAATTCAATTAATTCAATTAATTCATTTATTTCCAAAGGGGGGGGAGGGGTGGGGGCTGGGGAATCCCCCCCATTTGGAAATAAATGAATTAATTGAATTAATTGAATTAATCGAAATAATTCAACTAATTCAATTAATTCAATTAATTCATTTATTTCCAAAGGGGGGGGGGGTTCAATTAATTCAATTAATTCAATTAATTAATTCAATTAATTCAATTAATTCAATTAATTCAACTAATTCAATTAATTCCACCCCCCCCTTTGGAAATAAATGAATTAATTGAATTAATTGATTAAATTCATTAAATTCCAGGGGGAAAGTGGAAATTAAGGAATTTAATGAACTAAATTCTGTCTGTGCAACCCTACAGGACCTAAAATAGGGTCTATTTGGAACATGGCTCTTGTGAATAAGTATACGTTTTGGGGCCTGTTTTCCTCTTGTAAATACGATTCCCAGCTTCCAAATAGACCCTATTTAAGCTGCACACGGGGGGGGGGGTGGGGGGGGTGGGGGGGGGGGGGGGGGGGGGGGGGGTTTCAGTTTTCAAACACTAAAAAAAACTGACGGAATGTTCAATAAGCTTCAGGTCTGTCATGCTTGAGCCGGCATAGGAGTATGCTGAAACTCGTATGCATGGAGACATGGGGCGATGTCTACTGAAAAGTAGCTCCTGCGGCTTCAAGTATTCTTAAGACCTCCCACTGATATGTGTACATAGAGGGCTTCTGCGTGACCTCGCGGGCGGAAGTTGCTTCAACCCTCGAAATCCTTCGAGTTTAAGCCATCGGTTTGGAGCGAGGCCTCCGCTCACCGTGCCGCTACAGCGGAGGCGGCTGGGTGCAGGTTGTCGGGTCCCTTGACTTTGACTTTCAGCGTTTCGAACATGGATGTGAATGTCGGGGCGGTTTGATTCATCTTGAGGGTTGAACATGTGTTGAATGATGTGATGTTTGAATTCATCTTTCATCAAAAGCTTGTTGTACGAATGCTTTTGTCTCCCAAAGCTCCGGAGCAATGTTTTCGGCTGACATGGGCCGGTGAGAGGAGTACTGCCAGAATGCCATACTGCTAGCAACTGTTTACAGAAAAAAGGGGTGGTACTGCAGCCTAAGAGCGGATCATGTGTTTCCCGAGATTGCCGGTTTGCTTGAGCTACCGGCCCACAAATCTCAACATTCTCAACTGCAACCAGCACTCAATATGCCAGGGAGAGGGCCTGGTGAGAGTTAGTTAGCGTTTGCTTTTTTGTGTTGACAATACTGTGCATCTTCGATGCCGTGGCAGGTTGGTAAGTTGTAATTGCATAGTGAGCTAGCAAAAATGGAGGGACGCGCATGCATTGAAAGCGTTGATGGCCTGAGCTGGGAAAGCTTGGGAGCTTGGAGCGATCAACAAGTTTCCAAAGCGCAAAAGTGTCGCCCCAAGAGCTCAAGCGCTCGGCTGGTTGCTTGCCTCGGCAGTCGGCCCTTCGAATGCCATGGGCTTCGAGCGGCTCGACGTGGTTGGTCGTGGCAGTGGAGGCTTAGCTTAGGTGGCACGCAATGGTCTCCCCCAACGAAGGCCAATCGCTTGGCATCACTCCGACATCCCTGGAGGCCAGCGCTCCCGTTGTGTGTCTAAGCCATGAGGGTTCTTGAACCCCAGGATTGTGGCTTGAAAAGCTACAGGGACGGCGTGTAAAGCTGGACTTGGTTGGGAAGCGAAGCGCATGCAGTGACCTATGAAGCTTGTGTTTAAGGCTGTGCAGACCTTGAGGAGTTCAAGAGGTTGAATGCATTGGCGCGTCTCTGACCATAGGTCCACCTGGTTGCGGCGTGCCAGCTTTCCAGTGTTCACTGCGCGTTGTGGGTATGTGCACGTGCTTGTGGTAGGCACCATGCTATGCACGCATATACTTATTTAGCTATTTATCTATTCATTTATCTATATTTATGTATTTATTTAATGCAGATCTTCACATACGCATCTTCTTGAACTTGCGCGAAGTCTCTCGGCTGTACCCTCCGGCTCAATGTCATGTTGGCTGCACTTGGCGTGGAAACATCTGAGGCAATACGCTCCTTGTAGCAGCTTGCGGTGTGAGAATAGCTGCGGACATTCGCTCTGGGGGCTAAACTTATCAACAGCCTAGGTCCTAGGTGAATTTGATGAACCGCGGGTGGAGCAGATCATGTCACAGAGGCATCAGGTTCTCCAAGCAAACTCCGAACAGGTCAACGTGTATTCTGACGACCCTTGCAGTAGACTAGAAACCTCGGAAGGTCCAAATGATTCTGTCGACCGCGTGGTACAAACGTCGCACGCAGGCCTGCAGTTTGAAGTCGAAAGCCACAAGCTGAGCCTAGTTTATTTCAGGTGACCATTCGGCTTTAGACAGCGTTCAAGGCCGCACTGCCTCCGAACCCAGGGCTGTAAGCCAAGCCCTAGGTTTCCTAGTAATTAGCACGCCCAGCATATCGAAGTAGACTCACAATAGTGTGCGAAATGACTCGTGACAGAAGCGAGCGAGGGCTGCAAGACTGCAGAAACCTAGGCTTATATGCTTCAGAGAAAAAACTACTCATTCAACCGTAGAGTCGTGCAAAAACGGAAGGCCTTCTACGAAAGCCATCGACTCGCATCCCCTGGACCTACTTGGGAATCAGGCTGGGCGTCTACTAACGAGCTATGGAGACCTGCATCAGAAAACATAGGGCTATGCTCGCCCGTTTTGGGTTGTTACATCACCGTCAGCCAACTGTAGTCCAATATTTCCTAAAACACATTACCATATAGAACATCCTTGTTTAGGGACAGTTGAAAAACAAACGATATTGCAATAGTTTTTAAAAACGTTTTACATGTTTACCGTTTTATTGCTGTAGTTTCTCATTATTCTGAGAATACATCATATTATTTTGCTATTCGTAATCATCTTCATCGGTCCGTAAGACCTTCTCAAATCTGATGTAGAACGTTTTATTCGCATCTGTTGCATTCGTGTTTATGTGCAAGAAGCTGTATGGAGCATCATCTATTGTCAACTGGTACATATCATATAACTGTTGTTTGTTTACCACTGCACTATTTTCTTCAAGGAATGCGTTTGACTTCGTTCCTTTTTTGAGTCTCAATCCAAACAGTGCTGATGCCTTGAGTCTAGCTACCAAAAAACAGACAGCGGCTATTTTGATCCGGGCGAATTGTACAGCGACCACAAAATCAAGTCTCCACTCCAGAGAAGAAAAGCCCAGCACGCGCCCCATGCCTGGATTCCAAAAAACAAAGAATCCGGAAAACGCGGTGTGCTCGGTGAATTCGGCTTATATAAATCTTTCAAGATGGATGGCCGGCCTGGGTGAGTTAGCTACTACACGCACGCATTTCTGGCTTGAATATTTGCGTCGGCAGAGAAAAGGATCTTCGCGGAGATCCGATAAACCTGAGTTCAAGCAAGATGTCGTTTTGAGACTTGAGAGGATAGAGAAGATACTCGGTGAAAAATTCACAAGAAACACCCCTTGACTCAACTGAGGAACGGAGATATTTTACAACCCAAATCTAGTACGCTTGAGTATTACAAGATAAAGTATGACGAAGCGACGAAAACCTATTCATTTTTCTTTCTGAGAAAAATGAGTGCATTAGGTGCTAATATGTGCTGAGTTTCCTACAGGCGAGGATTGCAAAACAAGACACATGCAATGTAAAGCATGTAAGCAAATAAAACACGTAAGCATTTTAAAAGGGTATACAATAGAACATGTACGGCTGGTCTGGACGCAGGTAAGAAAATAGGCTTAAAGGGAAGGAATGAGTTCAGGGAGTCTTCCTTGTGAAAAGAATACTAAACATAAAGTTTTAGAAGTCTTAAAGACCAAAATGCATAGTAGAATATATGATGAACTCATGAAGAAATCGCACTACAAAAAGACATTGATAAACGCAATTACCAAGATATTCTGACACCCTTTGAGACAGAAAAAGAACATTTTGCATCTGAATATGCACAAAAGAAATATGCTCCATATTTGAGAATTGAAACATCCAGAACGAAAATGAAAAAACATGATTAACACCTCTACAGCAGACGACGAATACATAGAAAAGATGCCCTAAAGAATAAATGACTTAGACGGCTATTTAAAAGCAAAACAGGACCAAGGAAACAAGGGCACTAAACATTTAGATACGAAACCAAAACATGCTGTTTAATGGAGTAATATAAGTATTCAAGAAATGGAAAAAGATTACGGCGAATACTTGAAACAACCCCACTACCATACCATGAAAAACAACCCGAAGCAACCAAGGCTTGCCCATGTCTGGGAGCATCACCTTAAAATAGGATGTTTTCTGTATGGTAATGTGTTTAGGAGATATTGGACTACAGTTGGTTGACGGTGATGTAATTACCCAAAAGTCCGAACCACCTTTGGACTTGCTTTTCCAGGGAGCTGGCTATTCCTCAAAGAGATTGACCATTTCCAGGGTTTTGGGGAGCGTCGTAGGTGTTCAGGGCGAAAGTCAGCGCCGAGGAGGTTCAGAGTTCATAGGCTAGGTTTTTGGGAAGTTAGGCGGTTTGCAGTGCAGTCCACTGATCTATTTGGATCAGAATGCCAATTCTTGGCATGTTTTTAGACGTCTTGTCGTTAGGCCGCGCAAGACCGCTCGTTCACGACCTGGAAATGTCTAGCCTCATGTACTGCATGCCCGCCGCGTTTGACAGCCTCACACTCTGTCTGTTTAACTGGGCAAACACAAGCTACCCGCGGTAGATTGACGTAGATTGACGTAGATTGAAGACTGAGAACTTTCAGATGTTGATGTACAACGCGCCTCGTATGCGATCTGACTGCAAATGGTTGGTCGTGCTGGCATTGGCGATTCCGTTTCTTCTGTGGCAGTGTGGACCGGCCAAAAGCATTCATGAAGATGCACGGGAGCAGCCAGTTTTCGAGTGGTGCTCGCCCAACGCTCATCCCCAAAGTCATGCACCCGGAGGACACATGCCAGCTCTTCGCATTAAGCCGCCTGCGAGATCTGGGTTGAGCGAAGTGCTTCTCCATGTTTTCCACGGCGTCAAGAATGCCACAGAGCAGAATCAAGCATATTTTCTCGATGATCGCAATCTGCTCCACGGCAACGAAGAGCTCTCATGGAATCGATTTTTCCAGCCCTTGGGAGGACAACCAAGTTCATCCATTGACTTCAAGCCATCCTGGGATGTTGTCAGAGGCTCTGGGCAAGCAAATGCATCATTGAATGAGGAAAGAGGTGCGGTTCTCAACTCGAACCGGCTGCTTTTGCGCCAAGTTTGGCATTTTCAACCCTGGGTGCGAGGGCACATCTGTCAGAGGGTTCATGCGTTGCACTTAAGCCGTCCTTATGTTGGGATCATGATTTCGCACGATAAGAAGAGATCATCGATGAAGCGCAGCCCTAATGCCAGTCTGATGGCTTACAGAGACGCGTTGGTCAGCAGAACTTTCAACGGATTGGTGACTGATGTTTTTGTGGCGACCAGTGATTGCCAGGTCCTTCCCCAACTACAGCGTCTTGCGCCACAATTCAACTTCATCAGCTTTTGTCCTGGTATAGAAGATCACAATCCAAAAGCTCCACAAAATTCCAGTAATGCGGATGATCAGCATCTTAAACTCCTGGCCGAGTTTGTGGTTCTGGCAGCAGCTGTCTTATGCATTGGTGACCATGCGACTTACGCATACCACTGGGTTGCGTACATGCGCCCCACCGATGACTTTGCAAGTATGCTGGACCTGCGCCTATACCCATTCATCCAGAACCTTATGTAGCAGTTGCGAGGAGGGGTGCCCAGTGAAAGCTCGACCGTAAAAAGGTGCTGCAGCGTTGTTTCTCCGAGCCGACACGAACTCTGGACGAAAGGGGCTGGTGTTGAGTCAGGTCACAAGCCAGACAATTGGGACAAAACCCAAAGGCCCTCTTGAAGCAGCCCTCAAGCCGCTGCCCGAGGCTTCCTCCTGCGCAAGTCGGACGCCGAAGTTGCTGCTGCCCTCTTTGCGAGCCGTTCCTCAGCGCAGGCCAGGTGTGCTAGGGATTTCTAGGTTTCATCAGTGTTTGTTAATCGGTGGAAGGCTTTGCGAGCGAAAAGCAAAAAACACCATGATGTTGGCAAGAGGCGTCAGGATGTAGGGCAGGTAAAAGTATCAAAGCTTCAGAGCTTCATGCGTCAAAGTTGTGCTTAAGGGTCGCTCTGGAAAGAGGCAGAGCTCCTTCTCCGCATAACGTTTGGTAAGAGGCTCAGCGGAAACCCCTCTCATGGCGACTGCAGGGCAAAAGCAGGTCGCTCATTACACGCAATCCCTTGCCTGCCTACGCGCAATGCTTGTCACGTGTCACCCAAAGAGCCCAAGGCATGTAATCTGAGCAATATATGCATGGAGTCGTGCTGGCCAGATAGTAACGCATTTTCACTGCAGGGGAGTGCTGTGCGACCATGGCGAAGCTGACCTTTGTTGTCAGGGTTTCGATGTTCCTGGCAGTTGCAACGATGGTGATATCGTTGCCACGGATCTTGTTTCCTGGAGATTCCTGGGGACGAAGAGAATCGGTGTTGCTCAGAAAGATATGAAAACTAAGCTATGATTCAGAAAAAAGTAGATCAAGAGAAAGACTGTTTTTATGTATTGATAAGAGTTCACCACAACAAGAACGTGACGTAGTTCGGAGTGGAGCAGGTTCCCAGCTCGCTGCGCAACGCTTGCGGCAGATTAGGGCTTAGTGCGGGAGAAAGGGGCTTATAAGAGGTCAGAAAGGTAATCGTTTCCGGATGCTGTTTGTCATGCAGCGCCACGCGCACTCGATGAATTCAGCCGCGTCGTGCGTCCCAAGAACTTGAAACCACGAAGACAAATCGGAGTTGGCTGATCAGGGAGAGCTCGACAATCTGCAATCTCTGTATGAACATCATTTCTTGTACGCTGGTAATTTAATGGGTTGCATTTGCAGGGCATGCCAACGGAAACAGCTCCAGGAAACAGCAGCAGTGGTGCCTGCGCTTTTGCCGTTAACTGCGGCGTTAGAGAAAAGAAGCATAAGAAAGATCTGTCAATCCAGAAAAGCCTAAACCATTGGATAACCCTGGTCCCTATGCATAGAATTACGCCTAGACGATCAACACCGTACATATATATATATATATATGTTTGTATATAAACATTACGGGAACCCTCCCCAAATACAGAAACCCTCTTTGTTGCATCCCGTTACCTAAATCTCCATCCTGTTGTTATGGCCGCCCTATGCTTCAACCTGCACTAACCCTGAGTCGCTTGGCCGAGGCCGCTTCCTGGAAAGCTCCGTCATGAATTTCTTGCTGAGCACGTAGACTTTCACTTGGTAAAGCAAAAGAATCCTTTCACAAACTTGGGGCTGGTGAACCCTGCGGCTTAGACTGGCAACACGCCCAACAATGTCTTCGTTTTCCTCACAGCCAAACAAGAAAGAAAACTTAAGAAATGTTGGGCTCCTCTAGCTAGCGAGACATTCACTTCGTGAATGCTGTGGCAGACCATATGGAGTTTAAGCTTCGTCGCGCAGCCGGGGAATTTGTGCTGATGGAAGCAAAGCCATGCTAAATGATTGTATGATCTTACGAACATTCTGCCCTGCCAGTTCATGGCAGCTGTGCAGGTCCGTTGCCATGTCAGCCACGAAACACAAGCTGATGCGTCGAAATGTATGTAGGCTGCTTGTGCAGGATGCGGAAACTCTTCGCGAAGGTGCATTCAAAAATCACTTGCTGCACCGCATCAGCGCAGGGGATTTCCTTGCATTCTAAAGTACTAACACCGAAATCAACTTCCAAGAAAGCAATATATCAGCTATCAGTTTAACCTTTACATAAAGCCTAAAACCCTATGAAACCCTAGATTCCATATATCCCCAAACTTTAAACTTTAAGGTAATATAGAGAGAAATGTCATTCAATCTAAACCATCATGTAGCCCTGACGCCAAACAGAAGAGGCGAAACTTCCTGCGCGTGCGTTCCAAGAATTGTCACACCGGTTGCCATTTCCTTCGTTAAAGAATCCGAAATCGGCGATGAGAAGCATCGAACTTGCTATGACGTCTTGAAAGCAGCCCAAGTTGCAAGCGCCGGTCACGGGTGCGTGGGGAAGGGACACATGGGCAAGAAGCAGATGCCAAACCTTATGCTTCGTTCAACTTCGGAACTTTGGCGTCGTGAATTTGTCCCTGCGCAGCATGCGCTCCGGAGCAGCACGGTCACAAGGGACTTGCAAGAGGAGGCTCAGCTCAGCTAGCCTCTGGCACCGTGCAAGGTCGCCTTTGCAGCCAATGCAGGCCGGGTGCCAGAGACGCTTCTGCGCAACGATCACAACATAAAGTTCGCAGTTCTCTGAAGATGATGGCTGACAAGCCCTGCAAACGCGAACCGCATTTCATGTACTTCGTTGGAACCACGAACATCAGAAACCTCGTCAGGGACGAATGTCGATTCAAGTTAAGATTTTGTTGCTGCCAAACGCTGTTGCTCACGCCAGCTTGCTTGCAGCATGCTTCTTGGTCCTGGTACATCGGGTTGAATCCAATCCAAACGATGTTTCAACTGTACACCATGGCCATCATCCCCGTGCCACAGCAAAGGTATCCCCATTCAAATAGTCGCCATGATTTGTGTACACCTCGTGGCTCGGGTGAAAGTCTTTGTAAGCAGCCCAAGATTCCATCGAGTGTTGCTTGCCCTGTTGCATGCTCGTGGTGCCACCTTATAAGACAGCCCCCACCTGCTCACAAAGCGATCATCACACCGGACTGCGTTCGTTTTTGTTCCATGTGATCAGATTTGCTTCCAAGGTGTCCAAGGCCATCTTCCGCTGCAGCTGCTTGCAGCCTTTGCATCCTTTGCAGCGTTGTCGCTGGGACCTCAATTCGTACATAAGTACAGTAACCGAATAAGGAAGGTGGATCTTTTGCAGGTGGCTTTAGGGATTGCGTATACATCCAAAACATCTCGCTACCAACCCCTGCGTGCAAAACGACATACCAGCCAACATTGTTGACGTGTCCAGTTGGCGCAGTCTGCAAAAGCCTCGGGCAAACACCTCAGCGGAACACCCGATGCCGCTCTCTCCAGAGCGTGATCTCTGTTGTGGACCTGGCTGAACAGCAAAGACTACAAATAATCTCTACAAACATGCGGGAAACCAAGACCAGGTGCCGATTCTCTCCTCCTCCTCATGTGAGAAGAAAGACTGGGAAAGGAACGCTCCCCTCGCCACTCCCCTTCGCTGACGTTTCTTCTCAGGGTAAATAAAGGTAAGAGCAGAGTGGAAAAGAGAGAAATTTTTACATAGGTGGGGGCGTGACCTCCTTTTTTGTGCCTTTATCCTTTGTCTTCCTTTGCTGTCTGAGGTCTGAGAGCACAGGAAGGAAACCCACTCAGTCTTTGCACAACTCTCTGGGAAAACAGGAACAGAGAGCTTGTCCTTCTCTCCTTTATATCCCTTGCTCAACTCTGCTATTCTTCATATTTCTGTCCACATCGAGGCAGACAAAAGGCAAGAGATGAAGAGAGGAGAGGAATGAAGAAAGTGTTTGAGAGGGGAGCGGAACCCCCTCCTTCGCTTCTCTCTCCCTCCCATGATTTTCAATTTTTCCGGCGGCTCATTCTGCCATAGCTGGACTTGCCTGTGAGAAAGCCACAAAAGGCTAAAGAAGAGCCAAAGAAGCTGGGGGGATGACTTGCCATTTTGTTCCCTCGTCTCTTTTTCGTTTCTTTCTTGAAAGAGAGAAAGGCACCTTCCCAGTCGCTTCCAAGGACGAATCGGTTTGCCAAGCCATAAACCCTACTCTCACATGTTGCAGGCATACAGCATTTAATGGCTGTTTATCGGGAAAGAAGGACAAAACCTCACATTTATACCCAAAGGTCCATGCCACATATATGTATAGGTGGAGAGTTTACACGGCTTTGTATTACATATTGGGTTAGGGTTGAAAGGGTTTACAATAGGCACCTGGTCTTGGTTTCCCGCGTGTTTGTAAAGATTATTTGTAGTCTTTGCTGTTCAGCCAGGTCCACAACAGAGATCACGCTCTGGAGAGAGCGGCATCGGGTGTTCCGCTGAGGTGTTTGCCCGAAGCTTTTGCAGACTGTGCCAACTGGGCACGTTTTGGATGTATACGCATCCCTAAAGCCACCTGCAGAAGATCCACCTTCCTTATTCGGTTACTGTACTTATGTACGAATTGAGGTCCCAGCGACAACGCTGCAAAGGATGCAAAGGCTGCAAGCAGCTGCAGCGGAAGATGGCCTTGGACACCTTGGAAGCAAATCTGATCACATGGAACAAAAACGAACGCAGTCCGGTGTGATGATCGTTTTGTGAGCAGGTGGGGGCTGTCTTATAAGGTGGCACCACGAGCATGCAACAGGGCAAGCAACACTCGATGGAATCTTGGGCTGCTTACAAAGACTTTCACCCGAGCCACGAGGTGTACACAAATCATGGCGACTATTTGAATCGGGATACCTTTGCTGTGGCACGGGGATGATGGCCATGGTGTACAGTTGAAACATCGTTTGGATTGGATTCAACCCGACGTACCAGGACCAAGAAGCATGCTGCAAGCAAGCGGGCGTGAGCAACAGCATTTTGCAGCAACAAAATCTTAACTTGAATCGACATTCGTTCCTGACGAGGTTTCTGATGTTCGTGGTTCCAACGAAGTACATGAAATGCGGTTCGCGTTTGCAGGGCTTGTCAGCCATCATCTTCAGAGAACTGCGAACTTTATGTTGTGAAGGCATCGTTGCGCAGAAGCGTCTCTGGCACCCGGCCTGCATTGGCTGCAAAGGCGACCTTGCACGGTGCCAGAGGCTAGCTGAGCTGAGCCTCGCAAGTCCCTACTGACCGTGTCCCTTCCCCACGCACCCGTGACCGGCGCTTGCAACTTGGGCTGCTTTCAAGATGTCATAGCAAGTTCGATGCTTCTCATCGCCAATTTCTGATACTTTAAACGAAGGAAATGGCAACCGGTGTGACAATTCTTGGAACGCACGCGCGGGAAGTTTCGCCTCTTCTGTTTGGCGTCAGGGCTATTGGATGGTTTAGCTTCAATGTTATTTTCTATATTACCTTAAATTGGGAGAGTTTCTATGGCTTATAATTTGGTTTATAGAGCTTTAGGCTTAATGCAAAGATTATACTGATATAATTACCAGGTTGGTGATTGCTTTGTTGGAAATTGATTTCGATGTAGTACTTTCGAATGCAAGGAAATCCCCCGCGCTGATGCGGTGCAGCAAGTGCTTCTTGAACCCACCTTCGCGACTAGTTTCCGCATCCTGCACAAGCAGCCTACATACATTCCGGAGCATCAGCTTGCGTTTCCTGGCTAGCTGCTATGCACAAGCATGGACTTTGGTGGCCACGGACCTGCACAGCTGCCCAGAACTGGCAGGGCGGAATGTTGGTAACAAATCGTGCGTCTGGCCACGCTTCACACAGATACCAACACTACAGGCGACAAATTGTACATCTTGCCTTGCCATGCCTCACACCAGCAAATCACAGAGGCAACACATCGTACATCTTGCCATGCCCCGCACAGATGCCAGCAAATCACCGGCAAGAAATAGTACGTCTTGCCACGCCTCACACAGATGCCAACAAATCACAGGCAGCAAAGCGTACATCTTGCTCATGCCTCACCACCGATCGCAGGAACTCACAGGCAACATATGGTACATTTTGCAATGCCTCACATCGATACCAGCAAGTCACACGCAAAAATCGCACATTTTGCCATGCCCCACACGAATATCACAGGAAACAAATCGTACATCTTGCCAGACACCTGCAAATAATTTGCTTACATCAGCACAAATTCCCCGGCTACACGACGAAACTTCAAGGCATATGTCTGCAAAAAATGATAAGGATCAAACAATTTGAAAAGGAATAAGCAAAATTTTGTTAAGGATCAAAAAACGCTCTCCGGGCCCCCCGCTCCTCCGGTCTTCTGTGCTTCCGGACAGCTGGCTCCTTGGTCCTCTGGTCTGGTCCCGTGGTCCTCCGGTCCGGTGGTCCTCTGTGGTCTCTTGGTCCCTTGCGTATCAGATTATGTATTTTGATATGCTATTTTGTTTACTGATCATTTTGTTAGTATGAATATTCCATAGCATTACGACAGATTCCGTATTCTAATATAACACCGTATTAATAGTCCTAATGAAACAAACATAAAACCCTAAACCCTCGCTTGTGTGCGATCGGCTATTGGCACCATCCAAACCCTAGACGTGGCAAAAACACATCCTGAACCTTCCTGTGTTAGGGTTAAACCCTAACCCTATATAAACAATTATGCTTTCTCCGCTTTCTTCAAAGCACCCCAAAGCCCCCCCCCAGGCGCTTTGTTTAAGCCGCACAAGCTTGCTTCAGGGCATATGAGTCTTTTTGAAGCCCATGCGTGGATTGTGTTTGCAAATGGGGGGGGCGACCCACCCCCCCCCCCCCGGCCCTCCAACCCCCCCATTTTAAGCCTTGCAAGCTCTAGCATATGAGTCTTTTCGAAACCCATCATCCGAGTATTCTGTTAGCCTATGGGGGCTGCGATCCCCCCAACCCGAAGCTTGCTTCAAAGCATATGAATCGTTTTGAAGCCTATCACGCGAGCATTGTGTTTGTTTGCAAACTGGGGGGGGGGGGGGGCTGCGCAACCCTCCCGCTTTCTTCAAGCCGTGCAAGCTTGCTTCAGAACATATGGGTCTTTTTGAAACACGTCATGCGAGCATTCTGTTTGCAAATGGGGATGGGGGAGCCCCGAAACCCCCCACTGTCTCAAGCCGTGCAAATCTCTTCTTAGCATCTGAATCTTTCGAGGGCAGCGTTTGGGAGAGAAATGCTGGTATTTCCTGCGCCTGGAGCCGTGGAACAGCTAGAAATGTAATGAATAGCATCTGGAGCCCTCAAGCATACAGAAATGATGCATTTCTGAGCATTTCCAGCCCACGAACAGCCAGAATTGTTGCGTTGCATTAGCCTCCTTACTCAATGTTTTTTGATCTCTATCAAGAGTTTTTGGATCCTACGCCCAAAGCATTGGCGAAGTGAATGTCTCGCTAGATAGAGGTGTGCATGCGGTGTTTCAGACAAGACAACTTCCCCGTAGCAAAACATGCTGTCCGTTACACGGCCTGTCATTCGTAAGTGATTGTTCAAGCCGTTCGAGTTTGTGATGATTTAGCTTATCAATTCGTCCCTTTTGAGTAGGTTTATATTCTTGCGGTATGTGGTGCCATAGGTTTGAAATGCGACCTTTCTATTGTTGCAAGGATATATGTAAATATACAATATGTAGATATACAAATTTATATATATGTAGATGTAGATGCACATGTAGATGTATATGTTAATATGTATATATATATATATATATGCAACGGAACTTGCAGAAGACGTTGTACCTGCCATGGTCTGTTCTCGGAAGCTGCTCGTGGTCGTGCTTGCCTCTTGGATGCCAAATGGGTCGCTTTATGCTTTGATCAGGCTTCTGTTGCAGCTTTCACAACGCAGCATAAGGCCTGGACACGAATCGGTTGTTCCCATTTTAGAACAATATGAGAGTTTGTTTCATTAGAATTTAGCGGGATGCCCAGGTGTGTGTGGCATATGGCACCGGGTACTTGCAAGGACTTTCGCAAGTGCAGTCTTGTCTTTGCGATGTGCCAACTCCAGTTGGCAGCCCCGTCACATCCATCAGTCTTCTTGAAGCGATGAAGGGCACCGCAACGGACAAGGGCCCAGCAAGACATAACTACCATCGTTACTACGAAAAGTGGCTGGCACCATTCCAGCACAAGCCTGGGTTCAAACTCGCAGAGATCGGCGCTGAAAGAGGCGGGTCACTCCATGCTTGGAGCAGATACTTCTCGCAAGCTGCCGTAATATGTGGCATAGCATATGGTCACCTAAGTGAGAATGTAGAAAGCAAGGCTACCTCTTGGGACAAGGTTGTGGTGCTTCGGGGAGACCAGTCGAAGCGCGAAACCATGCAGTTGCTTCTTGACAAGGGCCCGTGGGATGTGATTATCGACGATGGGTCGCATGATCCACCTCACATGGTGTACAGCTTCTTTGCATTGTGGTCAGCGGTCAATCCGGGTGGTCTCTATGTGGTGGAAGACCTGGAGACCAACTACTGGCCCGACGGCAAGAAAGGCTACGAGAACTACATACGCGGCAATGGGGTCATGAATGGACCAGATCTGTCTGCTGTGGCCAAATTCAAACAATTTATAGATGTACTGCACCGCCGCCAGATTGGAGCTCCTGAAATGAGCAGCTTGCACATGCATTCTTCGCTTTTTTGTGTGCCAGTTGAAGTTCGTAGGTTCATGTGAGCTTGGAGCCTCAGGCATCATGGAAGGTGACGACAAGATTTGCTCCATCGAGTGGGGTATGAACCTCGTTGCCTTCAAGAAGTGCAGCACCGAAGAAGCCAAGCAAAGTCCAAAGTTTTTGCGAGAAAACTACGATAAGGCGATCATGAGGAAGTGGATTGAAGATGCCAAAGCAACCAATCCTACCATGGACTCTCCGTATCTCCCTTCGGCAAGCTCCACGTCCTTTCCAGCTCTAGTTGGCAGCCCCGTCACATCCATCAGTCTTCTTGAAGCGATGAAGGGCACCGCAACGGACAAGGGCCCAGCAAGACATAACTACCATCGTTACTACGAAAAGTGGCTGGCACCATTCCAGCACAAGCCTGGGTTCAAACTCGCAGAGATCGGCGCTGAAAGAGGCGGGTCACTCCATGCTTGGAGCAGATACTTCTCGCAAGCTGCCTTAATATGTGGCATAGCATATGGTCACCTAAGTGAGAATGTAGAAAGCAAGGCTACCTCTTGGGACAAGGTTGTGGTGCTTCGGGGAGACCAGTCGAAGCGCGAAACCATGCAGTTGCTTCTTGACAAGGGCCCGTGGGATGTGATTATCGACGATGGGTCGCATGATCCACCTCACATGGTGTACAGCTTCTTTGCATTGTGGTCAGCGGTCAATCCGGGTGGTCTCTATGTGGTGGAAGACCTGGAGACCAACTACTGGCCCGACGGCAAGAAAGGCTACGAGAACTACATACGCGGCAATGGGGTCATGAATGGACCAGATCTGTCTGCTGTGGCCAAATTCAAACAATTTATAGATGTACTGCACCGCCGCCAGATTGGAGCTCCTGAAATGAGCAGCTTGCACATGCATTCTTCGCTTTTTTGTGTGCCGGTTGAAGTTCGTAGGTTCATGTGAGCTTGGAGCCTCAGGCATCATGGAAGGTGACGACAAGATTTGCTCCATCGAGTGGGGTATGAACCTCGTTGCCTTCAAGAAGTGCAGCACCGAAGAAGCCAAGCAAAGTCCAAAGTTTTTGCGAGAAAACTACGATAAGGCGATCATGAGGAAGTGGATTGAAGATGCCAAAGCAACCAATCCTACCATGGACTCTCCGTATCTCCCTTCGGCAAGCTCCACGTCTGCTAGAGGCCATGAGGCCATAAGGCCATGAAATCTTGTGCTGGTCGTGGTCATGGTGGTACTTTTTGGTGTACCATCTCAATGGCGAAGAAGAAAAGGATCCTATAAAGAAAGTGACAGGCCTCATGGGCATTCAACAACATAACGATTGAATCAAGATATCAAAGGTCTCTTTCAGAACTAAATGAATTTTGGATATAGGATATATATATATATATATATATATCGTATTTTTCGGCTAGAATAGAGGATTTTATGAATGATTTGTATGATGATACTTCTGGACGTAGGTATTGTTTTTTGTTGACTATAATGTTATATGATCATTTTGGGGAATAGAGGATCATTTGAATTGTTGAACATGATGCGAATGATTTCTATTCAAAAATATTTCTTTGGATTCATTAGAGACTACAAAATATTTTGAATATTTGAGATGGGGGAGGGGGGAACTAATTTTATTTTGCAAGAAATTTCTTATTATTCCCTTGAATTACGAGATATCTTCGGAAGATGAAAATCAATGAAAAGATGAAGGTTCTTAAAAGAATTGAAAAATGATATATATTAGATGGGAGATATAGACAATTAGTGGATTCTTGAATCATTCGATAATTATAGATATGATCATTTAAGAATGAGAAATGAAAAGGATATTTGTCATTTCCAGGGTTTAGGATTGAAAAAAATAATATTATATAATCGAGGGATGCCAAAGTATAAATCAAAATAGAATTTGTTCATTCTATCTTTTATGAAATGATTCATGGGGGGTAATATATTTATTGGAAGAATATTATGGGATAATTATTCATTTCTCATTTCTTAAATTCAAACCAAATATTTAAATATTATGGCAGATTGATTGTTTTTGAATCGATTTGGATAATTTAATTTAAATTTCTTCGATGAATTTGAATGATCAAATTCAATAGTGGTTTATGTTCTTTTTTCTAATGATATTGGGGACAAATAATTCTTTCATGAATTTGTTATGGAGGTATTTTTTCTAGAATGATGATTTGAAATATATCGTCTCGATCTTTGAAAATATATTGAATCTTAAATTTAGGGATTTAAAGATATGATTCAAATTTTTCATTTATATGTTCAAATATTAATTCGGATAATTTGATCGAGAAAAAGATGTATTTATTCATCTTTGGTCTCGGAAATTTATCATGATATTTGGATTATAATTCATCATGAATTTTCTAGGATATTAGATTAGGAAATTTATCTATTAAATCCTAATCAATATGAATTCTTAAGATTTATTGAGATATCTCCCAATTCAAATCTAGCTCTCGGATCGTATAGGAATGATCGTCCATTTATGATCAGAAACTAAGGCGCAGGAGGCTTCTGCTCCCAAAAACGCCAATTAAAGAAAAGAGATATAATATTAAGAACACGAATTAAGCGTCGTCTAGATTAAATACAAGCCAAGAAGATATAATTCGTCATCTCGAGATTCCCAGTCGTGCATTGAAAGACCCACCGCCATCCCCAATTCATCAGGAAACCAAGAAGATGAAAACGCAGAGCCAAAACACACACACACGATTCAGACGACGATTCCTTTGAAAGGGAAGATTTGTATTTCCCGAAATATTACTACGATATACAGACCTTGCCGCCCTCAGTGGTCAGGGTCGCTACACAATCCGCACGCATCTGCGTTGTAAAGGGGTCGGCAATACTTGCGCGGGGGGTCGAATTTGGCATGTCAAATTTCATAAGATTGGAACGATTCACTCATAAGAGAGATTCCATGGAGATTCAATTAGATCATCAAGCATCGAAAATTTCACAATATATTCTCCTGAAGGAAACGTTCAATGGCCCCTTGGGCCCCATCCGTTGACGCCTGTGCTGCACGACATTTCTGCAGGATGTGAGAGAGTCCCCTCTGAATGTCAATCGAGAATCGATTTTTCAGATCTTATTTTGTTGTTCCCAAAGGAGAATTCGTAATTCGATCGTATTCCTGATATATACTCTTCAAGAGCCCACGTGCGCCCATCTCGCAACCACCCGTCGTATCTATAACTCGAATTTTCAGATCTTTATTCGGAAAATATTTTGAATATCTGGATTCTTCTTCGATTAAATTCTGGAAAATATTATATGATTATATCATATTCTTTCTTTAGAATTGATCTCGTTTTATTTTTATCATTTGGGATTGTCCCTGAATTTGTATTCCTTGCGAAATAGATTATGGTAATCTAAATTGATCTTATGTAAGCTTCGCATTTATTTCTGATTGGGGTCTTCAAAGAACCTCCTGATTATTGAGTGGAATAATCGAGATTTCTCTGATATACAAGTCATGCTCCTTCCCAGTTACGTAAACGACACGCAGAGGAAGTAGCTGCTGATACCGGAATCAATCTCCCATTCCAACCGGAGTATGCCGATGACGGCTTCTGTGGGGGGAGGGCGCAGGATATCCTTCGGTATTTTCGGCGAGAGATTCGTTTGGCGGAAAAGTTCGGGTTGAAGTATGATTTCTCCCAGTATACGGTTTATCTGTTGTCAGGGAATGATTTCAGGGGGGATATTTCTGGGTTCCAGGAGCTTGGGGTTCAGATATGGACGGGGTGTGATGTGCAGATGCTGAAAATTCCGGTCTCGGGGCAGCAGATATTCATGCAGGAAATTTGTGAAGCCAGGTAGGAGGGATTGCAGAACAAATATGTGGCTTTTCATCTCCTTCAATAATGTATGGGCTTCTGCCAATTGCAATATCTTACGAGATCTTCTCCCCATCAATTTTTGGGACCATTGTTCGAGTGATACGATAAACGATATCGCCAAGCCTTCGAAGTGATTATAGGGTATTCATTTCTTGATCATTCGTGGCGGCAAGCGACGTTATCTCCAAAATTGGGAGGTTTAGGATTTATGCTGGAGAGTATCCCAATTGTGGACTCCATTTGTTATCGGTCCGATATCTGTTATTTGGGGGCTTCCAGGATCGTTCAGGATTTATATCAAGCCCTCGTCCCTGCGATTCCGCATCATTCTGTATTAGGATGGATTAGGATTGCATAAAGATTGGAAGCCTTATTCCCGACGTGGCAGAATGATTTTCAGAATTCCCAGGTTCAGCTCCGACAGAAAGGCTTCATGTCCCAGGCCGAAGATGTTTCTCCAAGTCTTGCGTTCGATAGTTGTCCAATGTTGCATGATCAGATTCCATATCCAGGCGATTTGGATTACCATTATTTGATGTGGACGAAGTATGCCCGCAATCAGTATGGTCATCATAATTTGACGTATATCAAGATTGGGAAAACGGGATTGCATAATTATATCCGTGACGAGATTTATCGTCTTTTGTCGGGAGGAGGCTTAGGATTGAAATTTGAATCATTGGGGTGGTTGTCCGACGAACCGGCTAGGAGACCAGTCGACATTCTGATTATTCCTTCTGCTCTTTGTCGACAATCATCATGGAATTTTCTCCCATGGATAGCGATTGACTTTATTGTCATCTCTCCTTTTCGGGCCGTTAAGGGACGTTCGGTCATTGAGGAGCATGTTGCCCTTAAACGACGTAATCAGGGCACTCAAGCTAGGTGCCACGAACAGGGAATCGGATTCGAGCCAGTCAGCTTTGACCATGCGGGGGTTTGAACCAGGAAGGTGCTCGGATGCTGGAATCTTTGTGCAAGACCTTGGATGGCCCAAATGAATGTCCCGCATCACGACCACGACACTTGTTGCAAGAGAGAATTTCCATCGCTCTCCAATGATGTATCCATCATTATTTGTCATGGAGACGTGCGGGATATCAAGAAAAGATCTATTCTTTGCCGCTCAGATTCATATTTGATTGATGATTTTCTTTCCCGGTCAGGAGAACCTCCCCACGCAGGTAAGACATTTGTTCTGAGCAGGATATCTCCCCAGCGCAAATGAGTTATGATGATTATTGGCAGATATGAGTGAATGATTATGGGTTGTGTAAGATTGGATATCGTTTCATCCGCGGGAGCAGAATATGCTTGCGCCATGATTTTGGGAACCTTTGTTTTCTTTCTCTCCTTTTCGTCTTTCTGGGATATCCTGTTTAATTGGGGATGGTGGTGGGCTTTTACGCACGACGGGGCGTCTTGGAGAGCACGAAATTTGTGATGTGTTTCGTTTGTTTTTGGTGGATTCCTGGGTTTCACTTTTAATATTCTCAATTCGTCATTCGTATTCTTAATTGGTATTTTTAGGAGCAGACGACTCTTGCACCGATCGAATATAATGTATAGGAGGCTCCTCGGCGTCGACCGGCTGATATCTTGCTTGTGAGGATGCAGACCATGGAGATGGATCCTAGAAGGAGGAGGAAATAAATTGAATGAACTAGATGCTGGAGAGGAAATATTTGAGAAAGTATTATCCAACATGGCGAGTATTCTTGGTTAAGATCCATTTGAGGAAATTCAAATTCATCAATTGAATGATCTATTAGTTCTGTTCCTCACTTCGGTGCAAGAGACTTATGCTCCCAAAAGCACCAATTCACTACGAAAACTCAAATGAAAGTAATCTCCATCCATGAGAATAAGAAGAAGAGACCCGACATCAAAGCAGAGTGAAAGAAGACTTTTGCTTCTCTCACCACTGCGCACAATCAAAGATAGGATCCTAGTTCAAATAATTCCAAACATGAACCGAAGATCCATGATGAGATTGCTCAAAGCACAAAGAAAGCACGAAGCAAATAGCAGTGCCTTCCAGCAGTGAAACGAAGAATATACACCCGCCACCACCCCGAATTCGCCAGAAGGCACGGCGCAACAGTGGGACAAGACGAGAGGAGCAACCGCACAGGGAATCATCCAGATACGAAACTAATCCTCGCAATTTACTCGTCAGGTTGCGGCCCCGCGTTCGCCCGCTGCAAGCAGCAAGCAAAGTGAAAGCCGCGCTGCAAATCCATCGAGATCCTAGCACGGATCTGATTCTTCGAGCTCCCCACACGAAGTCCGAATCTCGCATCCCTCATTTGACACAATGAATCCACGA